GGGGAGGGGTAGGGGGAGGGGAAAAATGAGCTTAAACCCTTGACTGCAAGAGGACAAAACTTTCACAAAGTAAAGATTACCATTGAACCGAAGACCCCTAGGCAAAATCGTCTTTTGTAATCCTTGGTAATTTAAGGTGAGTCATGTATAAAGTTTTGTTTCTTGTAATTTGCTTTCCCTAAAATTAATGTATTTTTCGAAGCCACACAAGCCAACACTACATGTGTTCAGTGTGATTCTAGGGCCACTTGCCATGATTAAGGAGGATGAGATAATGACATGTGAAAGACCTCTCTACCTGTATCCTATTTAGGTTTAACAATTTCAAACATTACTCGTCAATCTGACCAAAAATCGACATAACTTATTGAATACTAATAATTTCTCATGTTCGAACGCACTATGCAATTAGGAAAAAAAAATTACTACCTATAAAAGTCAATTGTGGTGAAAAACTTTCATTTTTTTTATTTTGTCCTTAATTTATACTTTCAAATCAAATTTATTCTTGGTCCAACAATTACAATAAATTATTTAAGTTCAGTAATGCCTTCCATCGATACTCACTTTAAGTTTTGGACATTTGTATTCCATCTACCACATTAGTTACATATATAACTTCAACCTTCCAAATTCTTGCTACTTGACAGGCTCTCTTTAAAACCCTTGTGATTCCTCTTTCTCCTCCTCTTTTTCTCACTTCTTTCTATGTGCTCTCCTTTCAAGTATTGTTACCATAAACTTCATGGAATAAAGATTATAATTTGGTATGATGGTTGTTATGGCCAGGGTGCTTTGATTTGGTTACTCTGTGTGTGTGTTCTGTCTTCAAGTTTTGTTATTGAAATGAAGAAATTTGTTTCTCGAACTAAGATGATACTTAGGTATGATACCTGTTATGGCCATAATATTTGGATTTGATTATGCATTCATTAATAAGTTCAAATGCAGTAGCTGATAACGATTTAAAGTAAAATAAGTTCCAGCAATCAAATAATCTAAAGAATGTGACAGTTTGTATTCAATAGAGCCTTCAAATGCGTACTCAACATTATCCAATAAAGTTGGTTCACGGAAGAGAATGGTGGATTTCCATTGACGCTAATCATAGAAGAAAATAGTTTCAAGGATAATGTGAGAAGAGCACGAACTGCGGGTTTTAATTTCCAAAACAGCCATGGGACTTAGGAAATTGGCTAAGGTGTGGGAATTAGGATTATGTTTTATGGAAAGAGATGTTAGTACAAGCAAAATACATAAAAGGTGATTGATCATACTCGATAATTGCAATTCTTTTGCCTGTTGGAAAGAAACAAGTTCATTGTTCTCACATACCTTTCACAAAAAAAGTTGATCTAAATTGAATTTAATTGTTTCTATGTTTATTTTTTCGACTGATTTAGGTAAATTATGGATAGACCCTTTGGATCACACAAGTCACCTATGCAACTTTGTGATGTTTGTATTGTATAGCTGATATTATCCAATAACTGGTTTTCTTTTAGATTGAGGGCCTGAAGAATTTGGGTAGTAGAAAATAATAATAGACTAAATTACTTTTGTAGTCATTTAATACCATGTTTCAATCATGTTATAGAGTTTATTCATTTAATACTAGTGAATATAGGCCCGCGNGAATTTGGGTAGTAGAAAATAATAATAGACTAAATTACTTTTGTAGTCATTTAATACTAGTGAATATAGGTCCGCTATAATAGTGATATAACATAAATAATGCAACCCAAACTCAAGTGAAGTGATATAAAATCGATTCTATTTGATATTAGGTTTAGAAATGACAAAGTACCCTTGACCTTGGTTTTCAATTAGATTGGATGGAAAGGTTTTTTTTTTTTTTTTTTGTTTTTTCAACTTAATATATGCATTAATCTCTTACTGTTTTGTAATGTTTTGAATTTAGGTATCCAACCTACAGAACCTATTATGTAAATTCAATTAGTTAGAAATAAATTAATATTTTTGACTAACTGTCCAAACACAACATAACAAATTTGGATATTCTCATATACAATTCAATTTATGTAAATTATGTATATATATGATGAAGTTATTATCTGATCAATTTTTTTTTTTGAAAGAAAACGATAAGAGTTTTTAAATAATCGTATTTAAAAATATAGACTTTGAAAAAAATAACAATTAAAGAATAACCTTGCTTACATTGCAATTAATTGAGCTAATTATAATAATTCTTCACAAAGTATAGAAATTCTGAGTCCCGTACTTTGTCATACAATACCAAAGTGGGATATCCATCAAAAAGTTCTTCCTAGAAGCCTTTAATCAATGCAATGATGACATAATTTAATGGATGAAAATGATTGGAGAGAAATGTGCTTCATAACCCATTAAAAAAAAATGTGATTGATAAGTTATCTTTGTTTAATGTTTCATAACTACAAACAAAATATACCTAGTTGAATAGAATCTTTGGTCCAATAGTACTCTTTGTCTTGTAAAGGCTTTGCCTTTTTGAGATCAAGGGTTCAAGTCCCCCTCCACCCTTCCCCCTCCCAAAAAAAAAAAATAAAAAAAAAAGTTGAATAGAATCTCAACATACCAATTTTAATTTGATTAAATCATCCCAATAAACTTGTCTACCCAATGGTACTTGTTCTGTACAACTTGAAATTAAAGAATAAAACAACCATACATGAGCATTTAGTCGTGTGAAGTCATAATATTAGTTCATTATGAATTGCGATCAACGNTAATTTGATTAAATCATCCCAATAAACTTGTCTACCCAATGGTACTTGTTCTGTACAGCTTGAAATTAAAGAATAAAACAACCATACATGAGCATTTAGTCGTGTGAAGTCATAATATTAGTTCATTATGAATTTCGATCAACATGAATAAAAATCGTAAGTTTTAGTGGCATTATAAATTATACATGGCATAACTATGTAAATTCATCAACCTCCACCTACAACTAAATCAACATACTATAGCTGAATAATTNGTGTGAAGTCATAATATTAGTTCATTATGAATTGCGATCAACGTGAATAAAAATCGTAAGTTTTAGTGGCATTATAAATTATACATGGCATAACTATGTAAATTCATCAACCTCCACTACAATTAAATCAACATACTATAGCTGAATAATAATTGGAATTTCATTTGTGTGCATAGTGGTTGTAAAATATACTTTAGACCTCAATCTTATTAGACTCAACCCTAGTAGACACGAGAGAGAGAGAGAGAGAGACAAAAAGAGAAAAGGCCAAAAAGGAACGATAACAGAAAAATCAGGTTAAAATGCTTCTTCTAGGCTTAAACCAATGATTCAACCTTCTAATTTCTGTCTGCTGAGACATAGGTTCAAGAACAACAAAAATTCAAGCACCAGAGGTACAATAGAGAGAAAGAGAGAGAGATTTTGTATCAAAAGCAAATTAATTACTCTTCAAGGCTTTTAGTTACACAAGTTTTTATTTTAACAAAGTATTTTGTAATTTTTAATGTAGTGCAGATGCTAGTGACATAACAAGTGGATATTTGGATACAATCATAGATTGGATACCTAGCATGAAAGGTATTTTTTTGAAGTACATGCCAACTCTATTGAGAAATACAGACCCAAATGACTTTTTGTTGAAGTTTGTCATGGATGAAGCTGAGCGAGCTAAAAAGGCTTCTGTGATTGTTTTGAATAAATTCGAGGAATTGGAGCATGATATTATTGACACACTTTTGTCCATTCTTCCTCCAATTTATGCAGTTGGACCATTACACATTCACCTAAATCAGATTAAGGATGACGATTTGAAATTTCTTGAATCAAATCTTTGGGTAGAAGAATCTGAGTGTCTTGAATGACTTAACTTGAAAGAACCTAAATCTGTGGCATGTATGAATTTTGGAAACATCACTGTTATCAAANTGACTTAACTTGAAAGAACCTAAATCTGTGGCATGTATGAATTTTGGAAACATCACTGTTATCAAATAGACCCACTTATTAACCTAAAGAATTGTAAAACTCGGTAAATTTAAACTTTTTACAAAAAGGGCAAAACGGTAATTTGTTGCTATAGTACGGGTTGAAAACTTGAATTTTTTTAAATTTCGGATGACGAAACGAACCTTACTGTTGGATTTGCCTCACAAAATTTAGTCACCCGGTCAAATTTCATCGAATTCCGAGACAGTCGGAGTTTTTACGTTTTACGAGACGGTCGAGTCTCGGGTGACCCAAAAATGAGATTTTTAAAAAAATTTCAAAAGTTGGGAAACAATTAAATGTAATTTTAAAAAAAAAATTTGAACTTGAACCGGGACGAAAATTAATCGTTTCGGGGCAGAAACAGACCCCGGAAAAAGAGGGCTGTGTGGCGAATTGTGGGCCAAGTATTAAGAAGTATAAATAGAGGAAAAAATCAGATTTTTCCCCCATTCTCTTGTCCAGTTGTTAGCCGATAAAGAAGAGAGGGAAATAGGGAAAGTTCTCCACCTTCTCTCTACGATCTAACTCCACGGTGCCCGGATCCACTCGGGCCAAGAAGGAAAGTTGTTCTCCTCGACGTGGGCTACAAAACCATACCAAGGAGGTCAGTTTTGGGCGAGATTCCAAGGACGGAATTTTTGGGAGGAGAAGATTCTAGCTTGAATCGGGTTCTTAGGACTTCCTACGGTCGTTTCTTATGCTTCAAGAGGTAGGGTTCCTTTCTATTTGAGTTTATTTTACAACCTAGAGTGTTTTATGTGATGGGTAGGTTGATAGAGATATATATCACTTGCCTATGGATGTGGAATTGATGAAAATTGATTAAATGGGTATGAAAAAGGTTTAACAAATAAATTCCTAGCTTGAAATTGATATATGTGGTGATTGCGTTTGTAATTCCATGGAAATTTGGTACCTTGGGGTTATGTGAATTTGCCCTAAAGTGATTCATGAAAAAAATTGTATTATGTGGGCATGTTATGTGTTTAATTTATGCTTTGGAAGTTAAGTGTGTTATTGACATATATGAAATAACATGCTTATGGATTATGGTTGGATATGAACATGTTGATATATGCTCTTTGATATATTAACATTGAGATGAAATTTGCCTATTATATGCATATGATATGAGTGGCCATGAATTATGAAAATATATGTTAAAGTTGCTCATACGACATTCATTACATGTGAGTATGATATGGAAATAACAATGGTGTGTTACATTGCATATGCACGGAGACATCGCATTTTATGGGTGTGGTGGCATGGTTGGCATCAAACACCATGTAGGTGGATGATGGCTGAGCTCAGGAAAGTTGGATTGAATATCCGGCTGAGTCGCACGGTTGCATGAAATGAATTGGGTCGGGGTAGCAAGAAGGGCTAGACTATCCCTCAGGTGAGAGACCTAGTATTTTGGATACGCATTTTCGTTGGTATAAGAGCTCATAAAGTGTGTCGGTGTACACAAAATCGTTGGTGGAAGTCTATGAATTCTATGTTGGTTGGGTGACCTTTGGTGTAAGTCCATAAATACCCACCCGAAGAAAGACCTGAAAAATTTTAAAATGGTCATTGGATGAGTGAAACCAATGACGAGGGTTGGAGAGTCCGATCTTAATACTCAAGGCATTGCATGGGGGGAAAGGAGCCGGTGAGAGCTCAGGTTGAGTTGCATGAGTGAATATCATCTTATATCATGACACGACATGTTAGATTCCAACATCGATTGATTAGTCTTGATTATAACGGTTGTTGTTTGTGAAATGTTGCATGTGAACATTGCATATGCACTTAGGTTGGGGAGTAGCTCTTGTAGAAAATACTCTGCTGGGCGTAGCTCACCCTATACGGAAAAATATTTCAGGTGAGGGGTACATTCCGGTGGATGACACTCATTCGGGGCCTCAAGGGTGAAGAAGAGCTGACTTGTGGCTTTTGAAATGAAGTTTTGTAAAACTTTTGTTAAAAAAACTATGTTTTGACATGTAAATGTATGAATCAAATGTAATAGAACTTGTATGGATCATGTATAATGTAGAAAACTATATTTTACATGTTTGAGATGTTTGTGAGAACATTTGGAATGAATTGGAAATAAAAAATAGGTAAAACAGACAATTCTGGGTAAAACCTTCCGGAAGGTCGAAACAAACCTTCCAGAAGGTTTGGACAAATACAAGAAAAAATTGTTGAACAGTGGGTGCAACCTTTCGGAAGGTCGATTCTAACCTTCCGGAAGGTCTTCACATTTTTCTAAAATAAGGGAATCCAGTGTGTGACTCTTCCGAAAGGTTGAACACACCTTCCGAAAGGTCGACACATTTTTCTTAAAGATAGGGTTCCAGTACGCTTGATCTTCCGGAAGATTGAGGGAACCTTCCATAAGGTTTTCTAAAAATCTGAAATTTTAAGAATGCATTGTCATGCTTTTAGGCTATGTGTTCTTTAGTTCCAATGACATAAATGGACCTTAAATGAGATACATTGGGGTATATTAAACTTTGATGGAATTATATGATGAAAGAAAACCGATCCTCGTGTGGGTTGTAATCCCGGTTATAGGGATGTGATAGACGTGATATTGGGTTATGCAGCATTCACGGGTATTTTCGCGGGTTGATGGGTGATCAACGACTAATAAAGGAACCCTGGATTGTGGGGCGTCACAGCTTGGTATCAGAGCATAGGTATATGAATTACCTAGGGCTTGATGGGCATTGGGTCTAGACTATTGCATTCATGGTATGTGTTTAATTGCTACATGTTGTGTGCTATATGTTATGTGATATGTGCTATGTGAAATATATATACATGGTCAAATGTATATGAAAAAGGGAAACACTAGGGTTAGAAAACATAACCTTGGGTTTCGAAAAAAGGGATGAACGGTGTAGTTCATGGTGTAAAAGTCTACTAGTATGGGGTATGCACACTACTAGAGAGACAAGGAGAAAAATCTCCAAGTTTAAACTTAATTCCCTATCTTGGGATACTTTGTGAGTGTTCGGTTGCTATTTGACATGTGTGTAGATGGCAAATCGAGGAAAAGGACACTGAGGCAGTGGGCGGAACAACAACCAACTACCACCGGCCTTTGACCAACAAGCCTTTGTGGAGGCTATTGGTGCGGCGGCTGCTACGATTGCACAAGGTAGTGCTACAACTGCTAATGTTGCACAGACAAGTGCAAATGTGAGCCAAGGAGGCACGAATAACCTCCAGAGGTTCAAGACATATAAGCCTTTGGTATTCAAGGGAGGGGCGGACCTGATGGTAGTAGACCATTGGTTCTGGCAAGTTAGCAAGATATTAGAAGCAATGGAAATCACCTCCAATGCCACGAGGATAAGACTAGTTGCATTCCAGCTAGAGAGAGAAGCCCAAGTGTGGTGGGATTAGGTGAAGGACTCAAAGAACTTAGAGACCATGACGTGGGGAGAGTTCAAGGAACTTTTCATGGAAAAGTATTTCCCGGCTGTCGCAAGACATGCAAAAGCCCGGGAGTTCTTAGACTTACGACAAGAGATGATGACGGTTATGGAGTTTATGGCTAAGTTCACAGAGTTAGTCCATTTCGCCGATGACTACGTGGCTATGGATATGGCCAAGGTGAGGAAGTTTGAGGTTGGTCTGAAATTATCCATCCGAGGAAAGATTATGGGCCTCTGCCTACAAGATTTGGATTCAATAGTCGAGACAGTGATGGCCATTGACTGAGAGGTGGATGATGCTAGGAACATTCGGGAGGCTGGTGCAAACGATAGAAAGAAAGATGGTCAATCCTCTTCTTCTATTTCGGGGAAGAGGCAGAGGACTTCTACCCCACAATGGTTTCAGGGACAACAAGGGTAGGGTCGTGGTCACCAAGGCCAAGGCCAGGGTCGATCCTCTCAAGGCGGGAAAAATTACAAGACTACCTATCAGGCAGGGCAAAGGACATGTTTCCACTGCCACCAGCCTGGTCACATAAAGCGGGATTATCCCCAGAGGCAGGGATTCTAAGGCTATGGCTCATCTCAGTCACAGTCGTCGGTGGAGCAGTCATAGACACACTTTGCTCTTCACTACGCCACCATGGCCCAGGGGAGCTAGTATCAGTTTTACGGGGCTACACAAGGTCCTAATATTTCAGGTGTGGGGACTCCGCAAGTAGGCCAGATAGGCTAGGGCATGGGTCGAGGCCAAGGATAGGGCTCACAAACTGGTACTTCAGGAACCCAGGGCCGTGTTTATGCCATGGTGCTACAGACTGAGCCGATGGATCAATTGGTTATACATGATACATTTCTATTATCTCGCTTATGGGCTAGAGTATTGTTTGATTCTGGTGCATCACACTCATTTATTGCTGCATCTTATGTGAAACATTTGGGCTTAGAGGTTGAAACTTTGGATGAGCCATTGCATGTAAGTTCTTCCCTTGGAGCTAGGGTAAGAGTTGATCAGATATGTCGGGATTGTGAGTTAGAGATCTCGGGGGTCTTACTCACCGTGGACCTTAGGGTCTTGGATATGTCGGAGTTTGATGTGATCCTTGGAATGGATTGGTTGACGGCACATTGGGTTGTCATTGATTGTGATTGAAAGCGGGTAATTGCCTACACACCGGACGGTGTTTGTTTTAAGTTTCAGGGGCAAAAACATGACGCTTTACCCCAAGTCGTGCATGATTCTCGATGGCACAGACAGTTAATGAGTTGTCTTGTGAGCCTTACCTTGGAGAACGAGGTGAGACAGGAGTTGGGTCTACCTCGGGTTGTATGTGAGTAAGGCATNTGGGTTGTCATTGATTGTGATTGAAAGCGGGTAATTGCCTACACACCGGACGGTGTTCGTTTTAAGTTTCAGGGGGAAAAACATGACGCTT